CCCCGGAGTATTTTTTTATCTGCGACTGCTTTGCATGATGAAGAAAAGCTGCCTGCCCTGGTTGCTGGCTTGTGCCACAAGCAGTGAGACGTGGGCACTTTGTCCTGCATGGTCCTGCCTGCCACATCCCACTGAACCAACCAGAACCAGCGCTATAACCCCTCTTTTCCCCCAAATCCACCTCCTTGGATAAAAAAGCAAATCAAGGCAGAGTCCAAGCATTGCCAGCATCTCTCCTGACTGGAGCACACCAGGGACCCTGGGGACCAAGGACAGGGGCTCTGGGGCTGCCCTGCTCACCCACACCCACCGTTGGAGTCCAGCGGGATGAGGTTGGTGGCATTGAGCACTTCCACGTGGAGTTTCTGCTCTGAAGGCCGGTACAGAGCTTTGATGGTCACGGCCCCATACTTCTCTGAGCTCGTGTCCAGCTGGGCAGTTGGGCACAAGGATAAGGATGCTGTCCTTCATCCCCGTCATGGAGGGGATGCACAGGAATTTTGAGGAATCCTCTGGGATGCATTGAGCCCTCTCCTGCTCAACGCTGTGGCAAAACAGCCCCAGGACTGGGAGGGTGCTGGGGAAATTCCCCATTTCCACAGGCAGGGCCTGTGAGCAAGGGTAGGACTTGGGAAGGGGCTGGGAGCAGCATCTGGAGTCCTACCTGCTGCTGGATCCTGTTGCTGAAGTATTTCTGGATGAGTTTGCGGCTGCTGGTGGAGCAGAGAGCCAGGTGAGCCTCCAGCGTCTGTGGGGAGGGGCAGAGGTGATGGTCAAGCACATGGACAGGCCCACAGCCTGGGGATGTCCTCCCTAGCATCCCTTCCTCCCACAGGAACACACAGGGACCCCCCCATCCCCATCTCCATACCCTGAAGGCTGCACTGTGGAGGGTCTCCAGCGGCAGCCCGCAGCCCTCAGCGTAGAAGCACCGCTCCAGGCTCTGGGGACAAGGATGCTGTCAGCCACCAACCAAACCCCTGTCCTTGGCAGGGACCCCCCGCCTCCCCTTGGTACCTTCAGGGCACAGAAGAGCCTCTGGCAGTGCTGGACCGAGGGCACCTGTGGCCCCCGAGCTGCTGAGAGCACGGACAGGGTGTGGTGCCACAGGAGAGTGAGGAGGCTGCAGGGGAGAGGGAGGCTGTGAGCAGGATCCAGGGGCTGGGCTGCAGGGATGGCTTTCAGCTGAAGGGCTCTGCCAAGCCCCAGAAGGAAGGGCCTCATCCTGCCAGCCCTGAAGTGGGATGGCACCAAGTCCCATGGAGCTGAGGAGATGCTGTCAGGGATGGTGACTCTGGTGGCCTCTGCCACAGCGCATCCCAAGTGCCCTGGTCACCTTTTGAAGTTCTCCTGGACCAGATGCTCATTGAGGTACTGCAGCTCCGACTCCAAGAACTTCATGAGTGGGATGATGGACTGCAGAGAGAGGAGAGGGCATTGGGGAGGGCAGGGGGGCATCCAACAGGGCACAGCAGGCCAGGGAGGATCGATTGCAGTGAGAGGACAGGGCACTGGGGAGGGCAGGAGGGGTATCCAGCAGAGCACAGAAGGCCAGGGAGGATCCCAGAGAGGCTCCTTCCCACACAGGCAGGCTGTGCCTGGTGTGGTTCTGCCACTGGCACGGGCATCAAGCAAAGGCTGTGGAGCTCTGGGCTCCATCACTGGTGTGTCCTGTGCCCCAGAGAGCAGGGATGGACAGAGACAGAGGCACCCGCCAAGCAAGCAAAGGCTATCCATGGCTGCCCAAAATGATGATCCAGGAGGGGCTGGACCAGATACTTACATCCTCAGGCTTCTGGGTGTCACTGGAAGATGAGAGCTCCTGGATGTGTCTGGCAATGCCCTTTTCCAGCTGCCAAGGAGAAACGCAGGAGGAGACTTGGACTTTGTCCTCTACAGCAGCCTCCCCATGCCCAGCTCCACCTTGTCTCCATCCCAGGAGAATTATGGGCTTCAGGACACCTTGGGTGAAACTGCCCTGGGCCAGGTGAGGGCCAAGGGGGAATCAGTGGCAGGTGGTCACCTTGGTAGCCAGGGCTTGCACCACGTCCCGGACCTCGTGGTCCAGGCAGGCCACGGTGCTGTCGAGCTGGTTGTGCAGAGCGTTCTGGATCTGCTGGGGCTCGATGATGCCCCTGGTGCGCTGCTCCAGCTGGGCCCAGGCCAGCTGGGACGGCAGCTTCAGCATCTGCAGCCGCAGCTGCTCGATGTTGTTCACCACGATGCAGAGCTGGGGGAGGTGGGTCTGCCTCAGGGTCCACATCCCCTGGAGCATCCCACATCCCCATCCTTGAGGCAATCTCCATCATTATTCCCATCCCACATCCCCATCCCTGAGGCAATCTCCATCATTATTCCCATCCCACATCCCCATCCCTAAGGCAATCTCCATCGTTATTCCCATTCCCATCCCACATCCCCATCCCCAAGGCAATCTCCATCATTATTCCCATCCCACATCCCCATCCCTAAGGCAATCTCCATCGTTATTCCCATTCCCATCCCACATCCCCATCCCCAAGGCAATCTCCATCATTATTCCCATCCCACATCCCCATCCCCAAGGCAATCTCCATCATTATTCCCATTCCCATCCCACATCCCCATTCCCATCTCCATCCTCATCCCTAGTCTCATCTCCGTCACCATCTCCATTCTCATTTTCATCCTCACCTGTGTCCCCATCCCCATCCTGCTCCCCCCGCTCACATCATTTCCTTCCTGATTTTCCAGGATTATGGCTTTTGATGGCCAACTGTGGAACCCTAACTGGGGATGTCAGCTGGGTTCTCAGCAGCTCAGCTCCCTCTTTGTCCAGACACCAGGGCCAAATCCTGCCCTTCCTGGAGCAACCAGGACAGGTTCCAATACCAACCTTGTTGGCCCCCTCGCCCTCGTTCTGCTCACTCAGGGACAGAGCCTCAGCCCTCTCCTTGATGAGCTTGCAGTACATCAGGGAGATCTTGCACATGTCCTGCAGGGCAGAGAGGAAACCATCAGGAGTGAAATAGGCAACAGGAGGATCACTGTGGGCTCAGAGAATCCCATCACTGGGGGTACTGGCTCCTTCAAGGAGACACATCCCCAAGAGCAGGAGGAGGAAACTCCAGGTGCTGGTGCCTGGCTGCACAAACCTCCAGGAGGTTGACCATGATCATGAAGGCTTTCTCAGGGTCTGGCCAGTTGAGCTGCTGCCAGGTTGTCACGATCTGGGCGTAGCAGGTGGACAGGTCAACAGTGGATGTGCTGTGCTTGTGGTACCCGAAAGGCTTCAGCTGAGGGGCAGAGAAGGCACACACAGCTTGAAAAGGGAGATGCCATCCCAGAGAGCAGAGCTGCTCCTTCACTTTAAGGCTCTCTAGCCCATCATCAGCTTCTTATACCCCAATATATCATCCCACAACCACTTTGGAGAGTGGAGGAGATGAGGATGGATGGAGCAGCACAAGCAGCACCCTGCTTCCCTCCATACACCCCCCAGTGCTGCTGGACCCCACTAGGAACAGCCATGGCTGTCTTCCCTCCCCTCTCCAGAGAGGCTGGAAGCAAAGCGAATTCTCACAGCAGGGTCCAAATGCAGATCCAAGGGTCCAAGGGCTGCCAGGGAGCAGTGAGGGAAGGGACACAGGGACATGGTGTGGGGCCAGGCTGGGTGGGATCAGCTGGCCCAGGGGACCACGTACTTTGTTATTTGGCAGAGGAAGCAGGCTGCTCCTGGGCTGCCAGAGGCACCGGTGGTGGTGGCAGTGCTGTGAGCCAGGCCCAGCAGCAGGGCATGGAGGGCAGCTGCAGTGTCCCCAAAGGGAGGAGGGCGATTTCTCCTCTCCACGTTACCTGGTCCATCTGGATGGCTCTCTGGGCCCTCTCCAGCGTGGTGGTGTAGGCCTTCTGCAGCCACAGGGGCAACGCTTCCTCAAACCACTGGTGGAAGTTGCTCAGAGCCAGAGGTCCATCCCTGTGGAGGAAGGCATCCCTGTGGAGGTTCTCCAACCACACAGCAGTGGCACAGGACTGTCACCCCTCCTGCTCTCACACCAACCCCAGCCAGGGATCAGCCCCAAACCCTCTGGTGATGCTCCCATTGACACCAGGCACCAACAGCCTGCTCTGCCTGCTGTGCAGTTAGTGATGAAGGATCTGGAGATCCTCTCAGCTGACTGCTGGATCCCTCCCTCTGGCACCTCTCCCCTCTGAGGCTGGATACCTGCTTGGGAGGGAGTCCTTCATCTGATAGAGCTCCTGCAGTTTCCTGTAGAGATCAAAGAGGTTCTCGGCCGTGGGCCTGGACATGCTGCTGTCCACCTTGTGCAGCTGCTCCTGGACATGCTCTGCCACCTGGATGGGAACAAGGCCAGGGGGGACACAGTGAGGCCCGGCCAGGAAGGCTCCTTCAGGAGTGAGGGTCAGCTCAGGGCACTCCTCTTCCCTTTGGGTGGCATTTCAGGAGATTTGTTGGGTCAAACAGTCCCCATAGTCACTCTATGGGCACACAGGGGGAGTTTCTCTTGCTCCCATTCCAAGCTTGCAACAAGGAGTTGCCACCTGAAATGTGGCCAAAAACCTCAGCCTGGCTTTAGACTTTAGTCTCCTGAGGGCAGAGCAGCCCAGGCTTGCTCACCAGGCTCTCCAGCTCCAGGTAGGCAATGGAGAAGATATTCAACTTCAGGTTGCTGCAAGAGAGAAAGTGGATTCAGGAGCCTGCCAGTCCCAGGCCAGCAAACCCTGGAAGGCCAGCAAACCCTGGAAGGTCATGTCCTGGGTGAGGCCAGCACAGCCCTAAGGGGCAGAGGTGGGACCAAAGATCCCACCTGGGGAGCCCAAGGGCCAAGGAATGAGGCACCAAAGGGCCCTGCCACTCTTGATCCCAGGGAAGGTGGATGGGGGTGAGATCAAGCACTGAAACCTACGTGCTGAACAATTTATTCCAGATCTTTTGGCACTGCTTGAGATCTTCTATCACCTCCAGGAGGAGCATGGACAAGGCTTTGCTATTCTCCTCTATGCTCTGCAAAGGGAAGAAAAGCTTGTTTTGGATGCTCAGACATTCTGAGGTGACTTTATTATGTTGGAGGGACAGAGATGGGAACTGACCTTCACCATGGGCTTGAGGTGCTGCTTCTGCATGTGGAACCACTCTGTGGTGCCTGACTGCAAGAGAGGAGTCCTGGTGGGATGGCAGGGAAGCAGGAGGAGCAAAGCCAGCTCTGTCACCCCCTTCACTCTCCCTGTCCCCTGGGTGAGGGGAGAACCTGTTGTGGGAACCACAGGCTGGGGCCACCAGGTTGAAGGGGCAGGTATTTCCCATGCCATGGTGATCCATGTGGATTTGCTGAAGTGTGGGCATTGGGCAGGGGGTGGAAGGAAAGGGAGACCCACAGGGTCCCACCCTGCAGGGGTTGGGGTGGGTGAGACCCCAGTACCTTCAGAGCTGTGGAGACCATCTGGGGCAGGTCAGGGCTGGGTGTGCACAGCTCATGGAAAGCTTTGGTTTTGCACATCTGGACAAGGACCCTGCAAAGTGAGAGCCTGGAGTGAAACCCAGCCCCTGCCATCAGAAACAAGCACCTCTCCCCTCACAGACCCTGCCCAAAGAGCCTTCCCCTCCCAGCAACGTCCCCACAGGGAGCCCAGGACGAGGGAAGGCACAGGACAAGTGTCACAGCAGCCTCGACAGGGGAGAAAGGGCTCACACTGAGTTTTGCCAAACTCAGGGGTTTGTCCTGAGCCACAGGACCCCACGTGCAGCTGGCAGCAGTGACAGACTCACCTCAGCAGCGACTGGAGCCTCTCCGTGGACCTCGGGACAGAGAGGGGGAAAATGATGCGGAACCTACGGATGAGGGAGACCCCGTAGGTCAGCAGGGACTGGAAGGACTCGGCCAGCTCTGCCTTCTGGGGACAAGAAAGGAAACATGCACGGTCCTCCTCAGTCACAGGCAGATGCTGGCAGGAGCACAGAGGAGGGAGCTGCTGCTCCCATTCCTTCCCAGCCTCCTCCAGGGATGGGAAACAAATCCCTGATGTCTCTGGTAGCTTCTCCCTGGAGGGACTGAACTGAGCTTTGTGCTTAAACCTCATTGCTATGCATGGAAAATGCAGTGTCTCAGCAGGGTGCAGGGATGCTCTGGGAAAAGAGGCTGGGAGCAGCAGAAATTGGGTCATATTTAAGTTTTGTTGTGATTGACCTGATGGCAGGGATGGGGGAGAGGGATGTCAGTGCAAAGGGTAAGGGGCTGCCCACAGAGAGGGGCACAAACCACTGGGAAATGCCCTCCAGACA